GTGAACCACTTATCAATTTTATTTTAATCATCACTATTGGTGTACCTTGTAGGTGTAAAATTTGGCTTCCACACTGTCATCATTTCTTAGGGGCCAGACTTCAGAGACTTCATAGATAGTTCTGAGGTCTTTGGCCTTGCTCTGAAGTTACTGGCTGCCCAAGTTATCACTCAAGGTGGTAAATTTTTCTACATTGTCTTGGTCTGTTTCTGGATCATTTTCATTCAGTTCCTCATTTGGCCTGAGATAATGACCACATATTGTTGGCTTTATAGCTTTTGTAGGTTTTCTAGAAGGGGTAGGAATTTTTGGAAAGGCTCTTTTCCTTGAACTCACTTAAAGACATCTTTTCACCCCCATGGATATCTTTAGTACCTGAAGGATAACAGAGTGAGTGCAGAGGGACATTGGTTTGTGGGGAAATGGTTGGGATGAAAGGGCAAAAAGTCTTAATGAGAAAAAGTATGGGCTGAGGATGGAATCTGTCAGGCAAGACCAGGGAGTCTTGGGGATATGTCACTAAAGAAGAGGAGGAGAAGTTTGGGTGTGGTCCTTTCATCCTGGATACTGGACCTGGGTTAACAGGGCTTATTTCTCTTTTACCTTCTTTTGGTGAATGTGGTTGGTTGTTACACAACTGTGCTAGGAGTTTGTGGTTTCCTGGTCATCTTCACCATGTCAAAATTTCCCAGGGCCCTATCCAAGACCTCCTGAACATATGCTTTTCTCTAGGACAATGAGGAGCCACACCCCCTAGGCTTTAATTAATGAGGAAGCCTCTCCTCCAGCTAATGGTAGCTCTGGGAGAGAAATTTAGACATCATAAAGCACCATCCTGACACTTCCATAGGGAGGGGTGAGGAGGCCAAGATGCTTTGGTAAGAGAAAGGGGGCATTTCTTTAGCAGTCCTAAACCTTCTCAAACTTATTGACCCCATGTTCAATTCTGATGGGTCACATGGTAGGAGATGATGCTTCCTCCAAACATTTCCCCAGGCCACCCATTTCAGTGGTTTATTTTTCTTTCTCATCCTTCACCATTAGCTCATTTTCATAAGATTTACCTAAAATCTTTTCAAGGTAATGTGACTGTCTCTGTGGGGATGTGAATCATCCTGCTTCCATAGTACAGGTGGCTCTTATACCCCTTGAAAACCATTCACTTCTTGGCTATTACCAGAGAAATTTTCCATCTCACCCCCCTTTTTCCACTGTCCATGTGGCTCTCCCCAGCTTTCTGCTTTCAAGGTTTAAATCATTGCCTTTAGGCTGTCTTTAATGAATAGAGTTGCTCAACTGGTTATCTTAGCTTTGTTTAAAATCTTGAGAGTGATCATAGTAGGTATAGTATCTACATTTGGGGTTTAACAGTATAAGGTGAATGAGGCAGGAATTTAAATTCCCAAAGTTGGGCTACCTGTTTGTATGTTGAAAACTGCACCTCTCCCCACCCCACCTCCTCAGGGAACTTGGGTAGCCAGGGCTCAAGGTGAGGAACATGAGGGAGAAGTGAGGGACCCTGGACCCTAAAACAGAATCATTCCACCCAGGGTGGATGACAACAACAGGCAATTTCTGCATCCGGGTCTCAGAGACTTGGGGGCTTTGGTATAGGGAGCAGGACCACAGATACACAGAGGCCCAGCCCAAGTCCTGCCAGAGTCAAGGTGAGGACCCCCAGGAAACACTAAAGGGACTCTGGACACCACAACAAAGGGGACCCCACCAAGACACTCCCCCAGTGTAAGCCCTGAGAGTCCCCACGGTGGGATGACAACAACAGGCGATTTCTACATCGGGGTCTCAGAGACTCGGGGGGCTTTGGTATAGGTAGCGAGACCTCAGATACATAGAGGACTGGCCTAAGTCCTGCCAGAGTCAACATAAGGATGTAGCAACCGTGGATCGCATAACAGAGGGGACCCCACAGAAGCCCACCCTTGCTGTCAGCCCTGGGAGTCCCCAGGGTGGGATGACCACATTCAGTGTTGCCTGACTTCCACAAATGGGTCTGAGAGATCCTGGGAACATGATATCAGGAAAAGGGCCTCTGGTCCACAGAAAGGGAGGGCCCAGGTCCTGCTGGAGTCAACCGCCGAGGCAGCGGGCCGCCCTGGCTGGAGGCTAACGACCCCACTGTGGCCGCCTCACCCTGCCCCTCCCACCCCCTGCCTGGCGTTTGGTCAAGCCTTCGGTCATTTTGGATGTTACGGACCCTGGCTCTTTATTTATATATAGATGGCTTGGAATACCTGCCTCCTTCTTGTTGTAGTCCATTCTTATCCTTCTGGGGCACTTTTTGGAGGAAGTCTTCACTGAGTCCCCCCTCCCCTCATTGTAGTTAGATGAGCTTCCAACGTGCTCCCAAAGTGTCCCATGCTTTCTCTGTCACAGCCCTAACAATGCTCGATAATACCTCTCTATTTATTTGTTTCCCACACAAGACCTTGAACATGGGGAGGGCAGTACTTAGGTATTTTATCTTGTGACCCAGGATCCAGCAGAGGGACTGGCACCTGTTAGGAACTTGCTGGAAATGGAAATAGATAACTTGTCCTAGATGGCAGATGGGGTAGGGCATCCCAGGCTGAAATTTTCATGAGTGCAGGTTCAAGGTATATCCTTCCAGGTGGTGAGGAATGAGTTTTCTGAGGGGATCTTGAAAGTCAAGGAAAGAATGGATAGTAAAGTGTGGGCATTGGAACATTCTTGTAAAATGTTCTACCTCCTGCTTATAGAAATGCACTGATGGTGCTATTGATGGGATCTTATAATTCAGCCTATCACAGAGAAACTGCTCAGTTGCATGAAGGGTATAGAAAAGACCAAAAGTCATGTTAAATCCACACTAATTAATGTTCTATGATTCCCACAGAACATCTCCTGGAACTAGTTTTGAGGGACATGCTGTCAGACAGTATTGTTCCTTTCTTTTAAACTCTCCAAATGATACACCAGATCTTAAGACCATGACAACTTTGGTCTAAGGCAGCTTTTATGTCCTTCCTCCTTCCCTCTCTTTCTCTCTCTTTCCTCTTTTCTTCCCTTCCTTTTCCTCCTTCTAGGGTTTTTCTATGGGTGACATATGAATTATTGTGACAAAAATGCCACAAATGTGTTTTCATGCTACTGATAATTGGCTTGTGGACAACCCACTCTGTCTACACATGCTGAGAGGGCTAGTGTTGGGCTTGTAGGAAGGCCATATCCCGGACAAACTCTGTCAAGCCATCTGTGAGTGTTAAATCAGGCACCCAACCCATGACCATCCAGAGTGGAAGATTTCTCACTAAATCTCAGATTCTTAAGAATAGGAATTGAGTCTTGTTCATCTTAGCCTCCACTGCACATAACATACAGGAGGTACTTGATAATGCTTGTTGAATAAATGGATATAGTTCAGTATCCATCTATAACAGAGTTTAAAATTGTGTGCTAATTATAGATGGCAGAGAGGACTCTGGGGTGCCTCTTACCTCAGAGGCCAGGAGAAAAGCCAAGAGTACCCTGGCTGTGTGCACCATTGATCAAGCAGATGGTAGCCGCACATCTTTAAGTGAGAGTGTCCATGTTCCCGTCAACACATTCTCCCTGGAGGTGGGTGTTTATGTATCTGAACTCTGGACCAGGAGTCTCAGAATAAATGCAGACCTTCCAGCTGGAGATCTATTTTCTTGTCTTTAAAGTCTTCTGATCCATAATAAAAACAAAAATGGACAATTGAATTTTCCTTTCTTTTCTAAGCCAAAATGAAGTGGCTTGTGTGTCATTGGCACTTACTCAAGAAATGTTTGAATGACTGATTTGAATGTGTAGGCAAGCTGGCAGGGACATCTGTCACAGTGCTGATGGCCAGCATGGATTTGGCTGTTCCAGCTGGCTGGGCGGGGTTCCTCCTCTTCCCTTGGTGCTCCTCCCAGAGCTCCAGGAAACAGGCTACCTTCTAAGATTGAACAAAGCTTTTTTTCTTCTGTTTAAGGATATATATGACATTTCCCATGGTGTTTCTTTACCTGTTTCTTGTTACCTATTCACCTCCATTTGCATAGCTTCCTTATTTGTTCATAACAAATCCCACCATTCTAACTACCACAGCCATCTGGTGTTGTGGAACACCTTCCTTTCCCAATTTCCTCACGTGGCAGAAATTTCTCAATTTTCTTATCATCTTCAATCCTAGGGTTGGTTTCTGCATCAGGGCCCATTTTTCTGATGGCAGGTTTTTGGCAGAGCTGCCAGACTCATAAAATAAGGTAATGGCCTTTAGGAAGTAATCGCATTAGCTATTGTTTCACAGCAGTTGCCCTAAGAGCCTGGAAAGGACCATTCGATTTCACCGCAGAGGAACAAAAGGAAAAACAGTCACTGTGGTGGTAGCATGTAGATGGCAGGGAAGGTGACTGCTAATTTTACAAGCTCCTGGAGACATTCTGGCACCTTCACAGGACACCAGGAGACAAGCAGTCACTTTTGCTGGCCAACTTTTCAATCTCCTAACATTGAAAAACTCACAGAGAAAAGAACTTTATTCCATTATGCCATTTTGCAATTTCCTCTAAGATCAATATTGCATGTGGAATGCCTGATGGGAAATTGCTATAAAAATGGTAGCTAATTGTAGGTTAGTAGATATAACAACCCTCTTCTCTGGAGAGCTTGTACATATAGGTTGAAGGATAAAGTAAGGCTGAATTGTATTTATTTCTTTGTGTTTATCCAAGTCACTGGCCCAGGCAGGAAGGTAATATATGAAAAGGGACATTTTTGGAATAACTGTTTTTGAATTATGCTTATGAAATATATACTCTGCTATGGAGGACATGTGGGAAAACTACATTCTGACCGCATGACTAATTTTTTAAAGCCTTGCATAGAGAGAATTCTCCCCAAGAACACAGCTGGGTTATTCCTTTGTGGACTGAATGTGTCAGTTATGAAGTGAACTAAAGTGAAATTTTATTCCATCATGACAAAGTGAACTGAGCAGTGGACACTGCAGCTAAGGTATTACATAGTAGTTCACACACCAACTACTATTATTTTATTAACTTTAAGAACATGTTTTACATAAAAACAAGCAACATCAAAAGAACTCAGTTGATAAATGAAGATAATATATCACAGATGACTTCATTCCACATTAACCTATATTTATTAGCTTAAACTGAGAGATTAGGAAAAAAATTAGATGTCACTCCAGCTTTAATCATGTATACAAATCATTTGAAAGTTATTTCATTAAGATTCTCAAAATAAAAAATTAACCTATGCCATCTGATCCATGCAGCAATTGATAAATTCAATATTTCAAAGGAAACATTGAACTTTTTTTCTTGCACCAAATTGAAATCTTTCAGAAACTTGTATAAATTTATCAAGTTCCTAACCCACCTTTTTAGTGTGCATGAGCAAAATACTATTTAATTTCACACTCAACTAATTCTTTAATCATTTTCTTTCAATCAGAATGAAAAATGCTATTATTAATTTCCTAATAAAACATTTTAAAAAGTTATAGAAGCTATGACTCTAACCTTGGACTGGTTTCAATTTCTTCTCATTTTTTTCCTGAGAATACATCAAAGATTAATGTCAATGGCAAGTGAAAAATTGTCCCTAGAGAACTTCAAGATCTTTTTCTTACCACATTGAATTGGACTGGAATGAACTGACATTATAGCATCTTTATCATCACTTTTAAAGTCCTACTTTCTCTTTATACCAAATGTGAAAGCTTGTAGAACTATTATTTACTTTAAATTACTAAAATGTATCACAGACAAAAATATACAATTTTACATTGAAGCAACATTAAGGAATTCACTTCAGTTGATCAAAAAAGAATGTTGAGGAAATTTGCAGGTTGTTTTAGTTGTAAAGATTGCTTTTCCTTTAGGGAAAAAGAAATAAACGAGATCTCTCTCTTGTCTCCAAGGGCAAGATATCATAAACCTCATGATCAAAATGCTGCAAGATAGAAACTCCCTCACTGAGAAATGATCACTACAACTTCAGTGTGAAGCCCAACAATAACAGAAGCAGCAGCAGCAGCAGCAATAGGGGTGGGGATCAGGGGAACAAACCAAGGGGAAGAAAAGCCCACCCAAATAGAAGCCTTCTAAGTCTCTGCATTGACTTTCCTGTTTCTCACCAGTTTAAGACCTTTAATGTTACTCACTGTATGGTTGCATATTTGAGATATTAAAAAGTAAAAGACTGGCTTAAAAGCACCTCCACCTCAAGTGTGTGTGTGTGTGTGTGTGTGTGTGTGTGTGTGTGTGTGTGTATGCTAATTAACCAGGACGCCATAATGGGCTGACCGGACAGGAGGAGGTTGCGCGCACAGCTTCAGGGGTGGGGCGGCAGGGGCCTCCATGCGCCTGAGCTGGGGGAAGGCCTGACCAGCAGCGGCCATGGCTGCTTCAAGGGTCAGAGAGAGAGTGGCCAGCACCGTGTGATTTCCAATTGCGCTCTGGGCTCCTAGTAATTACATAAAAATTAAAGATTCTTGTGACAGTCCTTGGGACCCCATTTGCTACTGTTTCATGTATAAGCACCATTGAGCCATTTTAAAAGCACATTTGCAAGTGTCAAGTGTTTAGTGTGTCCTCAAGTGCTGTTGATTTATTTGTTTTTAAACAACAAAAGTTTAAAATGTGCTAGTTGACACTCTTCTGATCATAACTGAATTGACAAAAATGTTATTTTTGGAAGTATTTTGAATCACTACTTTCTCCAACAGACTAGAATGGCTTCCTGAAACTTGTTAACTAAAGAAACACATAATTCCCAAAGAAGCATATATCTGACCCTCTATCACTGCATGCAAAGGGTTCATCTGAGAGTATTTTTCCCAACTCCTAATGCAAGTAGCAGACAACACAAAGGAAAAACTAATCTTTGAACTGACCAACTTCAATTTTTAAAAAAAGTTTGACTGAGAAAAAAATATATCATGTAAGACTTAAAAATTTAGTGATTTACAAATTATAGAAAAGACGTTATCTACAATATATTCCAGGTGTATTATTTATTTATTTATTTTTGAAACCTACATCCAAATGAATGCATAAAAACCACCATCTTGGATCTTGGTGCTTTCCAAACTTCTGAAATCTCAGTGAAGGAGAAGACATACCAGGTTTTCTTATTATTATCTCAGGAGAATTGGGCAGAGGTGAGAAGGAAGTGAGCCTTCACTCTGACACAGGCCTTCTAGAGCAAGCCAGCTTAGGGCACCTTTTTATGGTTCAATTAAAAGTAGTTTGAAAGTAGTTTATCATAGAAATTCAAGAGATTTTTTACCCTTAGAGGGCTAGCAGGCAACACAATAATATTAACAAAGCTCTCCCTCAAGCACAATTGCACTACCGCAGGGGGATGGAGTTGTCGAATGGGTGCCCTTGGCCAACAAACCACCGTGATTTAATGGAGTTTGGTAGCTCTGTGACCCTCTAAACTAAGTCAATTTTTCCTTCCTCTTTTTTTCCAACTGTAATATGCTTCAAAGGGTAAAGGATTGCAATTTTAGCTTTTCTTCATGGATATATTGCTTTCTTCCAACAATATCTGACCAGGCTGTTAGACACAACCCAGGGGGGTACTGAACACTTGCATGAGGTCTCATGGAATACAAAACACCAAGCATTTTCAGTAGTTTATTTGCATTTTTCTCTGCTTATTTTAATATGCACCATGAGTAAGTTAGATGAGGGCTACTGTAAAAACATTTTTAATGACTGAAATCTTACTTTTCCTTCTAACGATTTGGAGAAAACCACATATTCATTGATTGTGAAGAATAAAGTGATTTCTGCTACAATGTTGCAAAAAAGTATTCATCAATATGAACAGTTATCATCTACAGAGATGATTTACACAATGCAAGTAATGGAAGTGTTCTTTCTCAACTAGTCTACTAATGAACTGAAAAGTTGAATCTTAAAATTTTCTTGAAAATACTATATGGTTGATTATGTATTAATAAAGGAAAGACAGTCCCCATCACCATACTAACACCATAAGAGCTATATTAAATACTTAGAAAAAAATATGGAAACACTTATGGCAATGATTAAAATGATAATTACAGAAGTACACTCCCATAATGGTACATATTTATTTGATGATGAAGTGAAAGAAAAGATCAATTTGGTTATAGAAATTACTTAAAGAACACTATCACTTAATGAATTCAAACTTGAACTATCCCAAGAATGTCATGAAAAAAAAATTAGAAAGCATTGGCTAAAAGCAAAGCAGTCTGAATATACCAATGTAATCAGCATGCCTTGTGCTTGTCTGTTAACCCTTTGCATACACTTCTCATATTCAGGATCTTGACAGCTTGATGCTGAAAAGATTGCATTCCATCTGATTACTAAACATTTCTACTTGACATATCACATACACTGTTTACTCAGCATAAATCACAAATTCGACAGCAATGCGTTGGGCTCTCCATGCTGAATGGGCCCTATATTCTTCCGAGCTGCTCTCTGAAGTGGTTGCGAAACACTCCCCAGCTTCACATGGTCCACAGTCTCCCAAAACTTGGATGGAAAAAGGCTGAGCCATGCACTATAAGTTCTGTACACTAAATGCTGTACCAATACATGTAATGTCCACGGGAAAAGCAGTAATTCAGAGAAAGAAAGGAAAGTGAAATCTTTTGTAGGTAGGTCTCTGCTCATAAGATTCTTCAGAGTCACACATTTAGAGTTGAGGCCAAGTTATATGGCTACTCCAGTGTTACTTAGAATAGTGCTTTGCTTTATAGTTCTAGACAAAGCAGTATTTCTGAACAGTTCTGGGTACTTCACTGATGTGGAATCTTTCTACACACCAACACCTTTCCTGGTATTCTGCCCTCACCCAACCTTGACTGAATTGTGCTACTCTGTGATATTGTATGGTATCATTTCAGGACTCTCTAAAAGGGGGACAACTTTTAATAAATAATCTACTGCTTACATGTCAGGACAACACAGACTAAAGAAATAAACCTAAATGTAGAAGAGCAAAAAATTGAGGGAACTACCTTGTAAAAATCATGACATGGTAGGACCTTAAACTCTATATTAACATAGGGCATAGTTTATGAGCTAAAGAGTAAAAGCAGTAATTGAAGACAAATGTGTATTTGAAAATAAAGAAATGTCAAAGACCTTCAGATATTGAAATATATTCAAAACAGAGACAGTAAGTGCTGTTCAGCTTTACATATGCAAATTTTATGAGACCTCACTCTTTGGTTGTCTCCTGCATCTCAAAACTGAGCAAACCTTAGGAGGACATTTGAGTTGGGTCCCTGCCTCCAAGACACCATGGCTTTTCTCTAAGCATCACAGTAAAGCACAGGAGGCTCCCATTCTGAAATGTGACACATCCCAGAAGAAACTCAATGGAGATACAGGGCTAGGGATCAAGGTTTTGTCACAGGAGTGACAATTCAGGTGTCAGACAGGACTTGACCCATAGAGAGAAAAATAACATGCCCCTCTAGATAGCTAAAGACAGCGGTGTGTAAAAAGGGCACCTTAGGGAATGGAAGTTTCATCCTCAGTGGTATCTTCCAGTTCTCCTATCCTGTTCTTCCTGGGAGATCATATGTAGGAAACCTAAAGGTACACAGGAAATGATTTTATCAGTGTTTTATTTCCTTAAAACCCATTTTAAAAATATTCTAGATTGTTTTCTGACTGTGCTTTCTCCTTGGCCACCTTGCAAAACACTTTGCCTCTAGTCCCCTGTGCTCCAGCACTCCTGTGTATGGATTTGATACTCTATGGATTTCACACTGAAGACAGCAGTGCATGGAAAAGCAGGTGAGAAAAAAGACCAGGATCTTGTTTCCTCTTTCTGTTTGAAATTCCAGTCCTATAGAGCACCTGGCAATTTATTGCTCTTTTTCTACCAGGTTTTTTTTTTTTTTTTTTTTTTTTTTTTTTTTTTTTTTTTTGTCCTGTAGATGGCTCATACTGAGCAGGCAGACCCTCCCTCACCAAGCACAAGACAAGGTATGTGTGTGCCTTCCCGAGGGTCTGCGCTGGCACTAGCAGCAGCTGATGTGGAAGCAGCATTTCTGGAGTGATATCAGCACATCTTCATATGGAGATAATTTGGGGGGAGGGGGGTACCATCTCTTTTGTGGGTCAGGCTGTTTGCCACAGGACCAATTTCCTCCACTTGGGATGCAGAACTCATAGCAGCTGAAAGTCATACCTCTAATGAGAAAAGTCTCTTTCTTAATAGGACTGTGAAGAAGAAAGAGGGGTGTTTATGCCTAAGTTATAAAACGGCCATGATCTAAACCTATAGAAAAGGAAAAGCAAGATATCATTCTAGGTGCCTTTCTTTTCTGGATATTGTGGCATCTAAAAACACCCCTAGATCTGCAGCAAAATCAAGAAATGTGTCTATAAATCCAAAGGCCTGGAAAATTCCCCAAGGGGTCTCCAAAAACCATGCACTCAGAGGGTTAACATGTGCTTATTACACACTGCAGATCCTAGTTTGATTGATGAAAATATTCATTGCTTTTAAATTTTAAAAAGTTGCAAAGTAGACTTAACCCTTTGAGGATCCTATTAGCAGCAAGTTGCCATCTTTACAAACAACATATCTTATTCAGCAAAGGGAAATTACTACAAAGGTACCAGAAAACACACTTTCTGTTTCTAAGTGCTAGATAGATCAGATGAAACTGTTTTACATAATTTGGGGAAAAAATCAGAGTCTCAAAGGGTTAGGCTAGGACTTCGAGTAAAAGGGTCTTATTAAAAGGGCGAGTTTGGGGAGCGAACAGTTTCTGATGAGCTTGGGGAATAGTCTTCGGATTCCGAGTTGAGTTCAGGCGGAGCTGGCTGTGCCTTGTATCGGCTCCTCACATCCTGGTTGCATCTTCGTCGGAAAACCTGCCTCTCCTTATCAAGAGCGGTGGTCTAGCAGGGGCATAAAATGAGAAAGAGGACAATTAGGCTGAAGGAAAGGGCACAAGAAATTCTGAAATTCTGAGGTCAGAAAAATATACTGGCCAAAGTAACCTATCCATTATGGCTTACTTTTTGTTGACAACAATTACCACTGTTGGGGAGCTCTCTGCTCCCCAAGTTGTAGCTGCTAGGAGCACCTGATCATGACATCAGCAGGCACAGGCAGGATGGATGATGTTGTGGGTTCAATTCTTCCCCAGCCCGCCCCAGACTTCCCCTAACTCTGCAACCATGACCTCTGGTGGCACCCTGGCCACCCAGAGACCCCTAGTAAATGGGCATCCCAGGCCTGTGTGTCTAACATGTGAGGATGCCAGGCGTGCCTCATTCATCATCACTCAGCTCAAGGCAACTGTATAATAAAGATAAAAAGTGATGAAGTTGTCAGACATGGAAACAGAGCCACAAGCTCATTCTATTATTTTAGCACCTTCTCCTTCTAAATTATCTTATTATCTGCTGACGAGGGAGTACAGCCGAATCTCTGGGAAGAATTGTTTTAATTTTAATGAAACCAATGTCTGAAATTGAAAATTGCTTTGAGTGCAATTAAACCAAATGGAAACTTTCCAAGGATTTTTCTTTACAAAGTTCATTTTCATCATAGTACGTGGTGATTTATGAAACTGAGATTCAGTTCTGTAGGTATTTCAGCTCCTGGTCTCCAATCCTCATTTTCCTGAGGAACCTCAGATGATCGCCAGGCTGTGCGATCCAGCCGCAACTCTGGAAGCTATTATGACATCAGAACTGGGAACGGAAGGCATGACTTCATTACAGATTTAATGGGTGTGGGAGGAACGGTGTCATTACAGAAAAACCTTACACAGAGAGCAGAAGAGCAGGTACAAAACCTGATGAAAAATATAGAATACATATAAAAGCTTGAAGGCATCCTTGTTTGAAAGTCCCTCTTTAAAAGGATGTAGCCTGGAGGTTATTCTGCTTTTAAGAGATTACTTATCCTCTACAGGGATATATACCATTATTTTTTCCTCTTGAAAATTTACTATTAGCTTCTTCAAAGAATGGAGATAAATTTATAGCTGGCCTGGTTCTGAGAACAAAGTGAAAACTATGCCTCTCTTACAACTGTAGTATAGCATTAGAGCAATCTTAGATCTAAAGTAGGGCAATCAAAGTTCTGAAATGAACTAATAAAGAGGGAAAAAGAGGCAGCGTGTAGAACTGATAGAGTAAATGACTTCATTAGGTTGAGCTGTGCTGCTTTAAAACTGTCCACAAACTGAATAACAGTTTTATAGACTCAATGAGGAAGATAAAGTTTAGTAATTTACTTGTCATTTCACTAGATTGTTAATACAATTATTCAATAACTGGTTTGTTGAAATGTCTATGTTTCATTCTTCTACTAGTTAAATTTTATTCCCACTGATTTTGTTATTTTTAGCATCATAAACTCAGATTCCTAACTTTATTTAAAACACTGTAAAGTCACAGCACATGGTATTTTGCTTTCAAAGCAAACTAAAAATATCTGTTTGTGCAGAGATGTTTGCAAAAAACAGACATGTCTTTAGTCTGACTTACATAAAAACCATTCTGTAGTTAATCCAAGAGTAATATAAGCTCTTCTCATGCTCATAAAAAAAATATTTCTATTTCTACCTTCTTGAGAAAGAAAAAAGTCCTTGGTATTGGACTTAATACTGACTAGTGAATGGAGGCTTTCGGGTGTGGGGAAGAAGTGCATACTAGGCTATAGGCAGGGATTATGAGTCCTGCTCTGTCCACTGCTGGCTGTGTGAATCATTCACTCTGTTCTCAGTTAAATGAGGAGCAGACCTAATCCCTTCCCACCCTCCCAGAGTTGCTATAGGTAAAGATAGATGTGCAAATGCTTTCTACATAGCTAAGATGGCCAGAAATGGAAGGGTTGTGTCCTTCCTTCCTTCCTTCCTTCCTTCCTTCCTTCCTTCCTTCCTTCCTTCCTTCCTTCCTTTCTTTCTTTCTCCCTCCCTCTCTTCCTTCCTTCCTCCCTTCCTTCCTTCCTTCCTTCCTTCCTTCCTTCCTTCCTTCCTTCCTTCCTTCCTTCCTTCCTTCCTTTACAATTTGGTATAATATATTGTTTTAAAATTAAGTAACTGAAGGTCAATACAATTATTAGAACTTATATCAGAGTACTCCCCTTCCCCACTCTCACTGGCACCTTCTCCATATTTAACTCATCTCCCCATAATTTACTCAGTTGCATCAAGTCACACTCTTGGCTTCAGCCACTGAAATAGGTTATTTCTTTACAAATACCATAATGTTGTTTATGCAGAAGTTGGTGACAGTATTGAGTCCATGCTTGGATAGTCCCTTTCCCCTGTTTTATTTTCATTTCTCTACATCTTTATATGGGCAATCCTATTCTCTTCCTTATTTGTCCCTTGGCATAGAGAACCCTTGCCCTGTTCCTTTTAAGTGGCCAGTTCTCCCCACTCCTAGCAATTTCTGTAGTGCAGCTTTATAATTGCTCATATTTGTAGGTGACACCTAGTGTTTAAATGCCTCTGTACTTTCAGGTAGCATACAAGCCAGTTTACCAATTATTTTTTGGAAAATATGTTATGATCACATGTCATGGAATAAGGATATGATGGCTGTTTCTATCGGATTTATAGACTTAAAGAATTGAAAGAGAATTTATAAAACATTCTTTGTCCAATGCTTTGCCTTTCCAGGCCAAGGTCTGCATGCCAGGATGCACTGTACATACAATTCCATCTTGGACCTGTAAACTCTTAGCGAGCCCTGAGTCTGATGACAGAGAGGCAGTTTCCTACTTCCCAAAGCCCTTGCAATATTCTCAAAAGCCACATAATTAATGTTTAGGGCTCCCAACTGACTTGCTCTCAAAGATGCTCCAGAAGATTTCATTGTCCACAGGGATACTCACTCTGCTTCCAGCTCCATGGACTATGGTTGGTTTTAATTACTTCTTCCTTCCATGTGTTCCCTTGAAACCTGGTACTGTTATCATTGTGCAGCCTGTCTAGATCATAATTAACTCTAATTCACTGTCTTTTTGGTTATATTGTAGATGCTCTGGAAGGCAAGATCAAGTCTTGGGCATCCTCTCTGTGCTCTCCACAGTCCATGGCACACAGCAGATACTCTACAAGTCTGTGCTTTTGAAATATAGGAAAGGGCAACAGAGGTCACAGCATTTGCCTCCTAAGCACTGAACCCCCAGTCCATCTGACACACAGCTGACAGGTCAATTACCCTTAAGTCTGATTTATTTAGAATTCCTCATAAAGTCCATTTATTTGTCCTAACATTCACAACATGCCTACAATAAAAATTTCCAGTGTCTAGTTCCTTTTATTATTCAAAATGATCCCATAACATCAGCATACTCACTGTTACTCATTTGATTTTCTTGCACAGCATCATTTACTCTGTCTAGGGTTAACCGTTCCTCAGTTTCTTTTTGGACTTCCTTCACTACCATACTCTGTGGTTCCCGTGAAGGTGATCCTACCCCCATCTCTGAGATGGGGCCAGGTGGGTTGGTGACTCAGGAGCAAACTTGAGCTTACTGCATTCCTCAGTACCCATGATTGGCAGGATAGGCACCCAATCCAGCTAACAGGACATAAGGAGACTTTTGCTGGGACTTCATATTTATAATGAATCCCAACTTGGGGAGGATAGTAGGACTGGAGCTGCTTCCCACATCCTGGTACTACATGAAGCTCCAAACTAAAGCCAACACAGGGATGTAGAGTGGAGAGATGAAAATAAACCAAACCCTGATTGAGTGCTGAGTCTATCCATCATTAAAGCCAACCTTTGGACCTTACAGATTTTATAAAATAATACATTTTGTTTTTGCTTAAGCCAGTTTGGTTTGGGTTTTCCTTATTTGCAATCAAAACAGTCCTACCGGGTATATCTGTGAATGTACTTTAATCACACTCACTTCTACATTTTGGCTCAAGATGTTCACCAACCTGAAAATACTATTCCTCCTTCCTGCCTACTCAAATGTATCTATTTCCCAAGATTTAATAAAATTCACCTCCTACATCACCCTTTTTCTTTCCAAATCCCTCAGGCAATCATTCTTGACCACATTCTGGTCACTTATTGAGCACAGGACCCTTATTATCTTTTCTGTGCTTATTCCCCAAATAACACGCAAGCTCCTCTGTGGTAGAATCTGAAACTCTTGCATTTTCAGAATGCCTAGCAGACTGTGACACACATATTTAGGGACTTATTAAATATTTCTTAATTAATACAGAATTAAATTATTTTAGATAATTATGTACTTTCTAAATAACAAAAAAGGACCCAAAACAACAAGAGTAAGAAGTTAAATGTATTATGAGTCAATATTTAAGAATACAATTTATATTTCAGATATGATCAAATGCTTACAATAGGTAAAGTTAATATTCTCTTATATATTTATTTACTCACAGCCACTTATTAAAGTCCAGTTATTTATCACAGTAAGCACTGTAATATATGAAATCTTTAGAATTTTAATTGTGGCTATAAAATTATGTGAAGGTTGAATTTCTACAACTGAATTCTGTGGCCCCCATATGTAGTTCAGGACAGATGAATTCAGCAAGAAAATAGAGCAATATGCTATTATATAATTTTTAAATATAATTTTCCCCCATAAAAGCATTTGAAATGTAAGATTTTCTCTGAAGTGTTGCATCACAAATATAAATTCTGAGCCCTTTCTAACATTTCTCAAAGGCTGCTTTCCTCTTTATCAACCACAGAAAATTCCCAGATATCAAGCAAATAGGGTCTCTCCTCCCTAATGCTTATCTTTGAAAGGTAAATTTGTCCTTAGGTATTGCCTTGATATGCCCTTAAAACTTAATATTTCCTAACAGGTTTATTAATTTATCAGTTATTTTCCTCATGGTTTATAGCTTTGTTGGAACCAACATGAATAGACTTTCCAAAAGTTT